TCTCACTGTATCTTGCTGTAAATATTTCGAGCCACTGCCAGTCTACACTCTCTTTCGTTCTGATTATTTTGACTCGCCTAAATTATATCGCGAAGTGCATTCAAGTGACATCGGGGGAACGAAGTGACCTTTGAAGCTTTCATCAGATGAACACCGTTTCAAGCCCGAGAATTATGGATTTGCGAGTCACAATCATTTTAGTTTTTTAAGGATAGTCGCTTGCTGGGCTAGTTGGTTCATTTCAACATATGTAGTTGTTTGCCAATGACTCTGCATAGGCATTACGTAGTGGCGGCGCATTGCAATACTAAATTATTTAACGCGTCATAATCTATCACCGAAATAACGTGTGTTACTTGCGGCGTAGCTTCATGTGGGAGTGAGCAGGTGACACAAAAGTGAATTCTTAAATTCGATCGCCGGGTAATACAAACCAGCACGTTGCAATGAATCGCTGTCACCTCGTATGTGTCTTCGTAGCTAGCCCATATATTGTAGTGCAAAAAACCTACGAGCTAATAGTTCACCACTGTCGCATTTGAGAAGCATCACGTAATCATGAGTGTGGTTTCGCTATAGTGTGACACAGAAAGCGTCACTTAAATCTGAAATACTTTTTTTTTCTGCCACAATCTACGAGCCTTCCTGGCGTGGACGCAGCTATGCACAATGGGCAAGGTGCCTGCTGCATGACATGCCCAGGGAAGAAGCACCCCCGAGTGGTACAACATGTGTTATGAGGTACCGTTACATATATGTATGACACACTGGAATTTACTGGTTCACTGAGTCTGTTTGTCTATAAAATATATGCAGTGATTATGCTTACTTATATCTGGTAATGTTACTTTTTTTCCAGCCTGCCATGCAACCACAAGATGACTTCCCCCGAATGTCCACTCTGCAAGCATGTTGAAACATCTGAACGTCCGCTACAACAGGTCATCTTGAACCTCACATTTGCAAACCTGCACTTGTGAATATGTTACCACGCATCTCGTGAAGGGGTGCTCTGATTGACCACAATTATTGGTTTTCTACTCTTCAATAAGATTGAATTTGAAACACTACTTCTGTACATTAGTTACATTATGTGGCACTGCTGAGAACAACACAGGTTTGATGGCAGCCACAAACCACATTTCGAGGGGGGTGAATTGCAAAGACACTCGTGTGCATAAGGGTTGGTTCGATTCACCTGCATCACATGATCCCTTTTACGAGGTGTTGCACTTTGCCATTCGTTTCAGTGGGGCAGCAATGGCGGCCTCTGAAACGCGCCATTAATTTAAAAGATGCTGGAAGGGTAGAGCATTAAATTAGTTCATGATTTCTTGTACCTTCTACACAGATAGCACTGGTTCGGTGCCGCTGCACGCACAGCTTAGCAAACTGCGTAGCATTAGACGTAGATGCCGTACCCGCTTCTACTAACGTGAGGTGTTTTGCCAAGATGTTTGTACCTCATTAAATTAAGCGAACAGAAGGAAGCTTTTCAACATGTCGGCAGCTTGTTATTGTTTTTTAATGTCGCACTGCATGTGCCTTCGCTCCTGAACTCGGGCTTCACAAGTTCTCAGCTTTTCATGCACAACCGCGAATCGGTTCCGAATGGTGCAGGCGAATCTAACAGACCATTAAAAGGTGGCAGCTTGAAAGTATGAAAAATCTGTGAACAGGAGGTGCGGAGCAAATGCTTTGGCAAGCAGTCTTGTCTCTTGTGATGCTACAATGTCATTTGTTTCAACCCTGCAAGCCAGGATCAATCTAAATTTGTCCACTACTGCACGACTCATCATCGCTTCATGGTTGGCATATGAATTGTCAGATATTATTATTGCATTACAAAATGAACACCCTCACTTTTGAAACCACATATTCAGTCAATACACTCAGGCCTAATAACCCTACCAATGGACTTGGGTATGGCGTTCGAAAACGGTTCCAAGAAATCCCGAGCTCTTTTAGTCGAAGCTTGTAAGTCAAATACAAGCATCAATTGAGACTTTTCGGGTCACACAGAGCACGGCGATGACTTTACAGATCCGAAGCTGGTGGCAGCCATTTTTACAGCACCAACGATGCTGTCACGTAGCGGAAGTCGCTGGCAGCCATGCGCTGATTGGTTCTTCCTTTGTCGACTCGCTGCCGGCGTCGGCGCCGACGCTGCAGATATCTGAATCGTCCAGAAGCCGGATATTTGAATCGTCCCTCGGGCGACTCTTCTTCTCTCATGCACCGTTGCCGCGCTTCTATGTTCGGCACGCGCCTTGTGCCTCTCCTTTACTCATGATAAACCCTCAAGGGGAAGGTATATAACAGCTGCATCTTACCGGTACTTAACAATAGATAAAGAACCTGGAGTCTTACAAAGAGGGTTCACCTTAAATTGAGGACGATTCAGCGAGCGATGTAAAGAAAAAATGAAAGGCGTAACTTTGAGAGACAGGAAGAAAGGAGAGAGGATCAGGGAACGGATGGGAGTTCAGAATATCATAGGTGAAACTTATAAGAAGGAGGAGGAGGCAAGTTTAAGCGGAAGGACAAGGAGGTAAGCCAGTTCTTAGACCAGCTGGCTACCCTGCGCTGGGGAAGGGGGTGAAGGGAATAAAAGATGATAAAAAAAGTTGCGATCAAAGAGAGAGAGAGAGAGAGAGAGAGAATTACAAAAAATGCGACAAAGGAAATGCAACATCAGAGAGTACAAGGTACTAAAGTCTGTCTCTGAGGCCAGTTGTCCGCAAAAAGTGTAGCAGGGCTTTCAAAGCCTTCTGGGCTGAAGATTGGCTCGGCCAATGACCCAGAATCCTTTGTTCCGACAAAGGCCGATCACCCAGTCTGTCCAGAGCTGCAGTCAGTTCTTGTCTTCGCGCGTTCAAATGGGTGCACTCACATTGAAGGTGCACGATGGTTTCTTCGCAGCTGCAGTACGTGCATGTAGAAGAGCTGGCCATTCCTATGAGATAGGAGTATGCGTTCGTGAAGGTACTCCAAGCCACAGGCGGCATAGAAAAGACTCCTCAGCTTGAGATATCCCTGAGGGAAAGCGAAGCTGCAGATCGGGATCCTAGTTATGCAGGCGTACGTTTGTGAATTCTGTTAAGTTCCACTGTACCAGTGTGAGATCACGTGCAAGAGAACGAAGTCTTGTAGCTGCTTTGGTTCTTGAGAAAGGGATGGCTGTGTATTGGGTACCGTCGTGCGCAGATCTAGCCGCCTCATCTGCGCGGTCATTGCCATATATACCGCAATGAGCTTGTAACCACTGATATACTATGCTGTGCTGTTTCTCGATGGCCTGGTGATGAAGAAGCCTTATTTCAGCTACTAACTGTTCATTAGGTTCATGGCGAAAGGGTGACTTAAGACATTAAAGAGCTGCATTCAACTCCGAGAAGATATACCAAGTTCCCGAAGGTTCTTCAACTATAAACTCCAGAGCTGCACGTATGGCGGTGAGTTCTGCAGCTGCCGATGACGTCAAATGCGATGTCATGAATTTAATTGTGATGTGCCTCGCGGAAATAACCACCGCCCCTGCTGAGCTTACTGAGGACACAGAGCCATCCGTGTAAATGTGAAGGGGTCCGTTGTGCTTCTCCTGGAGGAAAAGTAATGTGGCCTGTATCAGGGCTAGATGCGACGACGTTTTCTTATTCTAGATGCCAGGAGTTGTAAGAAGAGTTTGAGTGGGTGTAGGTACACCAATGGTAACGGTGGCCGTGCTGCGTGTGTGAAGTGCAATGGAAGAACTGCACGATGCTGAGCTACAGTTGCGCTAAGCGCTGAGTGGGGCCTGGAAGTTCGAAGTGAGGCGAGGTGATGTGATGGAAGCTGAGCCAAATGCCTTAAGTGCATTTTCAAAGTGTCTACGCAGATGTATGTGTTGACTGGATAATTACGCGCAATGATGACTGTCGCTGCTGTAGACGCGCATCTCGGAAGACCAAGGTATATTCGCAGTGCTTGGGCTTGGATCGACTGGAGGACGCGCAAGTTTGTTCTTCGGATCCCGCAAAGCACGGGTAAACTGTAGCGCATATGACCGAGGAACAGAACAGTGTAAAGTTGAAGCATTGCTCGTACCGGTGCATCGCACGCTTTTCCAGCAAGAAACCTCAGCACGTGGATGATCATGGTGAGCTTAGTTTTCATGTGGGTAATGTGAGGGCTCCAGGAGAGGTCGCGATCAACTATGACTCCGAGGAATCGGTGGGTTTTCACGCAGTTGATCGTGTGTCCGTTAATTTTATATGGACTCATCGCCTTATGCGTGAATGCTATAAGCGAGCACTTCTATGGTGACAGCTCTAGTCCCCGTTCTTCCAGATACTTTGTCGCTAGTGTAGCCGCTCTCTGAAGCCGGGCACGCAAATGAAAGCGTGTTACGCCTGACACCCAGATGCAGGTGTCAACTGCATTTATTGATAGATTGACTGATTTTGCAAGTTCGTCAACCAGGCCAAGGAGCGCTAGATTGAAAAGTGTGGGGCTAAGAACACCACTTTGAGGTACACCACGACGGATGCAATGATGCGTTGTTGTGCCATTCTCCGTCGGTACAAAGAGAGTTCTGCCTTTCAAATAGCTGTTCATTCATTGGTAAACCGGCCGCTTAATCCATATTTTTCATGACATCCAGAATAGCTTCATGTGATACATTATCGTATGCACCTTTCACGTCCAAGAACAACACCGCAGATAAACGTTTCAGTCTTTTTTGATGCTGCACAGACGATACCAAGTCAATAACGTTATCAATTGCAAACCGCCCACGCCGAAAGCCCGTCATAGCACCAGGGTATACCTCGTGGTGCTCCAGGTACCACTCTAGGCGAGTCAAAGTCACCCTCTCCATCACTTTCCCGGAACAGCTGGTAAGCGCAATGGGGCGATAAGAGGTCAAGTCCAGAGGAGATTTACCTGGTTTAAGCACAGGGACGAGGCGGCTGAATTTTCACAAATGAGGAACAAATCCGCTCCTCCTCGAGTCATTATACACGGATAGAAGGGCCCGTCGAGCTGCTTCACTGAGGTTGCAAAGAGCCATGTAAGTGATTCCATCTGGTCCAGGCGATGAAGATCGTTTGCATGCCGTCAAGGCCGCTTGGAGTTCTTCTAGAGAGAAAAAGGTGTCTATTCTTGAATCTCTGGAGACTGGGGCGTTTTCTAGGTGACGCGTGGTGCATGCGCACGCCTAACCGGCAACTTTCATGCAGAAATCTTCTGCTACTTCAATTTCGGTGCGGCCTTGGTGGAGAGCAAGACACTTGAAGGGGCGAAGTTGATGTGGCGATGTTCGTAGGCCACGAACAATTCTCCATGTCTGCGTCAAATGCTTGTGTGGATCCAAAGATTCGAACAGAGATTTTCACCGAAAGGACTGAAGTGAATTGATTCGCCGCTGATTTTTTTTCTGTAGGCACCTTGCCTCGCTTAAGTCGTGAATGGACTTAGTGCGCCTATATCTTCGTTCTGCACGACGACGGATAGCTCTGAGCCGTTCCGATTCTACTTCATGTTGACAATATTTTGAAGTAGGTTCAATATGATAAGTCGCTTCTTGAGCAGCACCTTTAATCATGTCCTCAAGGGTGTCAAGATGAAATTGACATAGGCAGGACACGTCGCGCGTAGGCAAGGTAACCACTGGACATTAACAGTAATGGACTGGATTTCAAGTAATCGCAAACGCATAAGATGGAGACAAAAAACTAGGTGGGCAGATGAGATGAAGAAGTTTGCAGGTATAACGTGGCCCTAGAACGCACAGAACCGGGCTGATAGGGTGAACATGGCAGAGGTATTTACCCTGCATGCAGTGGCCTGCGTAATCAGGCTAATGATAATAATGGTGATGACGATAAGCTTTCCATGAATATTTCTTGTCAGTGAATTCATTTCGCTTCACACTTGGGACTTCCACTGGGTTTAATAGGAGGAGCCTATTACCACGGACATTGAGGAGAAAACGATGGTTTTGCATTTTTAGAAATGTATCGTAAATAATTTGTCGATTCTAATTCACAAATTTTGTTCACTCCTTAGCTGCACAAGGTAAGTATAAAGA